GTCTGCTGACATGGGGAGCTGGGGCGTGGGGAGCACTCAGAGAGGCAGACCTGGGTGGGGTGGGGCCACAGTGAGCACATCGAGCCAGGTGGGAGGGCAGGAGGGAGGGGGGGAGTGCAGGGACAGAGGGGAGGTCAAGGAGGAGCGGATGGAGGAGCCCAGTGGCGCCTGGGGCCTAGGCTGTCCTCACACAGCACAGGGTGGGGGTCCGTTGACACCCTCCCCTTGCTCCTGCCCCCAGCGCTGCTCAATCTGTACGAGCGCCGGCACAGCACCATCCTGCGGCAGCGCGCCGTCCAGAAGCTGTACGAGCACATCGCAGCTGATGACCGCTTCACTAAGAGCATCAGCATCGGCCCGGTCCGTGTCCCCAGCCCAGCCCCTGCCTGGGGCCCCTCCTGCACTCCCAGGGTGCTGTGCAGGGCCTCAGCCTAGGGCCGTCTAGCAGACCTCACAACGGTGGTGGAGAGGGGCTTGAGGAGTCCCCTGACTCCAAGGCTCTGCCCATGCGCCCCCCTCCCCTTCACCTCAGCTTGGAGAAGCTAGGTCCCGCCCCACCCCCACGGCCAAATCTGGTCTTTTGAAGGTGCTCTGGACACAGCTCCTCACAATACCTCCTGAGCTCCCTCTGGCTGGCTGGGAGGGGCTGCCTTTTCTCCCGTGACCCCCTCCCTAACCCTGCTCCACATAGCCCACTCTCTGTCCCACTCTTAGGGGACTCAGAGGTGACCCAGGGGGCCTAGAGAGGGTCGGAGGACGCCACCCAGAACCTCACACCCTGACCCGGTCCTGCATCTCCTTGGAGGGGCCTGAATCATAACTGACCCAACAGGCAGAGTCCCTTTGTCCCTTAGCTGTGAACAGGAAGCCTGCGGGGCTTTGATTTAATTCAGCCTGAAATGCTTCTGTACTAAAGATGAGCTAGAAATGTGGTTTCCTTGGGTTTTGACTGCTGAGTTCTCTAAACAAGGGCCCTGAGCAGGAGGCATTGGCTCCGGGACATTCTGCCTGAGGAGGGAGGGGAGCACTCGTGGCTCCTGTGTCCCCCCCATGCCCCTCTGACCTGGAGTGATCTCCTTAACGCACAGCACTGTTCCTACTCAGAACATGTCACAGCTCTGCAATGTGGGACTCCTGGTCCCTGGCCCTGTCCACCGACCCACAGTCTCCCCACCTGCCGCCCCGAGGTCTCCCTCCTGCCAGCCTGTTGGCCAATCTCCCTGGGGTGGCACATCTGTCGGGCGGCCAGGGCTGTGGCGTGGGGCCCAGGTGGCTCGTTCCCAAGCTGATCGTGCGTGTCTGCAGATCTCCAAGACTATCAACATGCTCGTGCGGTGGCGTGTGGATGGTGCGGCCTCTCCCGCCTTCCAGGAGCACGTGGACAGGATCCCCGACTACCTCTGGTGAGTACCCAGCCCAGGTGCGCACTCGTGGGCTGTTGGCAGACACAGCAGCACGGCTGTGGGAGGGTCCCTGCATCCAGGCCCAGGACAGGGCCACCATGCTGTGGGCTCTGGGAATGGTGCCCGTGACCGGGCGCTCAGGGCGTCAGTGCCCATGAGGCCATCTTTGCATCAGAGATTCGTCACGCAGAAGAAACTGAATTGTCAGGGGCCCACCCCCGGCTCCTGACGCGGCCTCTCTCCCTTCCAGGCTGGGACTCGATGGCATGAAGATGCAGGTAGGCCCCGGGCACCAGGGGTGCGGGGGAGCGGCCTGCCCAGCAGCCCTTTCTGCTCTCTGTCTCACGTTGCGCCTTCTCAGATCAGACCCTCCTCTGGCAGAGCCTGTCTGTGTAATGAGGGACGCGCCCCCTCCAGCCCCCACTAGAAAGGGCCTCTGGTAGTTAGGGAGGTGCGGGGACTCCCCGGACGCGGGCA